AGATATAGTATATATGAAATAACAAAGAACATAATTCAGAAGGCTAGAGAAGTTACTGTATGCTCCTAGATGAAGAATAAAGAGCTATCAAAATGGTAGTTATGCAGGACTATGTAAAATATATTAGATGAACCCATTTAAAAGGTCATTAAAGATTTCTGTGAAACAGTATCAATCTTATGTCAGGTTATACATATAATTTTTCATGTGTGTGCTTATAAAAGATATGGAAGAAGGAATATAAAGTCAATGGCAAATGTAAATATACCTTTTAAAGTTTCCAGTACTAGAAGAAAGTATCATATCATGTCTTCTAAATAGACTGTAAGTCTAATATACAATGTAAATCTTAGAACAAAAATTAAGATCAAGAAATATTCAGAAAATTAAATACTGCTTAATTAAAAATTAAATGTTTCCAAACAAATTAAGAAAAAGTTTTTATGATAGTAAAAAATTACTAAGAATAAAACATAAGATAAATACTGGAATGACAAATAAATGAGCAGCACTTCTAACAGTTTGGGGATAGGGATAGGATATTGCATAAAGTTCTAGTGTGTTGTGGGCATGGATAATGTTCATTACAGTGGTGGCCAGGTGTCACTTGTGGGACTGAGCTAGTCTGTGTAGGTTTGGCTTTGTCATCATGAAATTGTCAAGTTTTTCTTTGTCATAGAAGTATTTCTCTTCTCCATTGCACTTGAAGGAGAGTTTTGCAGGGCATATCAGTCTGGGTTGGAATTTGTTTTCTTGCAAGACTTGAAGTACTTTGCTTCATGCTCTTCTTGACTTCATGGTTTGTGAAGAGAAATCTGCCATTATTCTGATGGGTTTTCTTTTAAATGTGATCTGTTTCTTTTCTCTAGTAACTTTTAGTATACTGCTCTTGTGCTGAATTTCTGGGATCTTGATTTTTATATGTCTGGGTGTGGTTTTAATTGGGTTGATGTTATTTGGAGTTCTGTATGCTTCTGTTGCCTGAACGTCAGATAGTTTCCCTATATTTGGGAAGCTTTCTGCTATTCTGTCCATATTCTTTTTATATCATTTGTATTGACTTCTTCCTTCTCATTGATGCCTATTAGTCTCATGTTGGTCATCTTTGCATCATTTTACAGGAATTAAATTATTTTTTCCTGCATCCTAGTTGTTTTTAAGAGATCTTTTATTACTTTTTCTCTAGCTGCAATGGTGTCTTTAAGGTTTGAAAGTCTATTCTTTCATTCAAATGGTTTTGCCAGATTGTGATTGAGGTTTTAAATTCTTGTATATCACTTTGGATCTGCTTCATGCATTCTATTTCTTCCCTAAATTCCTTATTCATAGATTCCATCATTTTTATATTCTGCTCTATTTTTTTTATCAGTGTCTTCTTTAGAAACAGTACTTTTGTCATTACAGTTATCATTTCTTTTTTTACTTCAGAAATTATTTCTGATCTGATTTCTTCTATACCTTTCTGCTGTTGTTTCTTTACTTCACCTGAGATTTCAGGTGTGTGATTTCCAATTTCTTCTATGCTAGTGTCTTCTGCATTTGTTCCGGGTGGACTCAGGGCCTGAGACTGCATTTTGTTCTTTCTCTGTCATTTTCTACAGCATTGTCTTGTGACCTTTGGTGTAGAGCTTAGAGCTTAGATAGAGTTATTACCTTAACACCAGATCCGGATCTACCAAGTTCAAACTTGTGCAAGTGGGTGTGGCTTGGGTCTAGCTGCTGTGCCCTGCTTCTTCCTTTTGCAGTCCTTAGCGTTGAAATCTCTGTTTCACTCTGGTAAGAAGTTCAGTTCCTGAATCAGCTGTGTGTATCTTGCCTCTTGCCTCTTTGTAGGGAGTTCTGCTGCAGGTTCCATGCTGGGCCTGGGCTTTGGGTCTATTCAGGATGCAGCAGGCCCTGGGCAGTCTTACTCACACAGCCAACCTGAGCTCTGGGTCAAATGAGGATCTGATGGGCCCCAGGTAGTCTCACTCACATACTGGGCCTGCGCTCTGGGTTGATTCAGGATCTGGCGGGCCCTAGTACATTGTGAGTGTTTGTAGTAGTTAGATTTATTAATAGTATCAAGACTCTCTAGGGTACTTTGTTCTTTAGGATGTCTTCTGTGTGTAAGAATTTCTTTGTGTATCTTAAAATCCTACATTTCTTTTTTCTCCATAATTTTCTTGAGAAATAAATAGCAATGAGACAGTTTCAAACCAAACTGGTAGGACAGTTTCAATAATTAACACATTGCATACATTCTTCCTAGTGGTTAATTGCTGTACAAGATGTGGACATGATATCCTATTTACA